GTATAACATGGGAGAGAATGGGATGTATGGTTCGAGCTTTACTTAGGCTGCAGGGCGTGCGGAGCTTCCGATTGTATGGCTTGCAAAGGTTTAGAGGCGTGTGGTTGGGGCCCCTGTCAAGTTGCATCTTAAGTTCTGCGCGGGATGGCCGTGCTGAGGCTTTTAGGAGGCTTCGAAGATGTGCAGATGGACGTGCCGATACAACACTGCCTGCTTTTAGGTCTCAGCCGGCAACTCGGATGCACGGAAGCCGAAGCCACTAGCCGGAATCTAAGCACGCAGAGGCTGTAATCACCCCGATATGCTAGTCAACACCAACGGTTTGTCATAGACATAGACCTTCTGGTTGCGATGGCCCCTCCAAACCAAGACAACTGCCTGAGAAAGAGTTTTGAAACATCTGTGCCAGCATGCTACACCGCAATTCCTACCTTCTACCTGCACCATATACCCGAGACCCCTGTACCCTAACCCTATTCCCTAAACCGTACATTTTAAGCCCTAAACCCTAAACCTCTCCACCATATGAACCCTAAACCCTATACCTTACTACTATTGGTTTGCAGAAATGGAGCCTCAACTCCTGTGAGGCCCCGGCCGCCCTGCAGAGCTGCCGCAGTCAGGCCGAGCCATGGGTTTGATGGTAGGGATCTGAAGAGTGAGTAAATTTGTACGATCTCAAGAGACAGTAAGGTCTGAAGAAAGAGTGAGATGATAAGGTTTGGGGTGTTAGGGTGTTTTGGGGTTCTAGGGTGTAGGGGGTCTGAAGAATTAGCAAGATAATTGCTCATGTATAGGGCCCCTTGATGATATGGTTGTGCTGGGGTATACCGCGGGTCCTATTTGGGCTAAGGGCTAAATATGGGGCTCTAGATACTCAGTATGAATATGCTCGTATTATGGAACTTCGACGATTGTAGGTACACTGCCTGGGGACGTACGACTTCGGCCATGGCGCGTAGCCTACTGGTGAAGCTTCAGATCACGGTGTAGGAATGCAGCTTACGACAGGGGCCTAAGTCATGACCTGTACTAACCATCTTGGGGGTTCCGTGTTATAATACAAAGTCTAGGACCCAGAGTAGGCCCTTATTCCCTTTTTAAGGGTTCAGGTTCCCTTATAAGCCCCTTTAAACCAAAAAGGGCACCCTTTTTATTCCTAGGTTACTCTTGGGTCTAGAAGTATAATGGGCCCCAAAACCCTAGTCTAATGAGTAAGGCCCAGGACAGAGGTTCGCGAGGTTTGCTTGCTTGCTGAGCTTTCAGCAAGATGCCTGCTCCATGGCAGCCCTTCAATGGGGGTCAAGCTGCCGGGCTCAGCTGTGTTCTCTATCGTTCTCTGACATGTGAGTTTCCGAAAATAGGGACCCTAATATGGCACCTTTAAAAAGTAGGATCCTTATTATAGGGACCCCAACATAGGGTACCCTGAATTCTCGGAAACTCCCATATGTACATTCTTCGTTGTCTCTGCTACCGCCTCCGCCTCCTGCTCGTGATCCTTCCCCGCGTCCTCCTTATCGTCCTTCGTCATCCTGGTACCACTGACGGCAGCGATTCAGCTTCTTCTGGCACATATGGTATACCTGGACCGTAAGGAAGCTATCTTTTTTGGGCCCCTTAATATGATTTCTTTATACAAGTCCCTAAAAAGGTAGGTTATTTGGGGTTGAGGTAGCACTTGTTGTGCTTACTGCTTGCTTTTTCGTCAACAGTTGCTCCCGTCATCGTGGCAGACAGGCACTTCTAGAGCCATGCTAACTCCAAACCTACAGTATTGGAGCGAGTAATCGGTTTCGGGTTCATGTCCCAAAGGGCCCAAAGTACCTATATAGTAGAATGTAGGGTTTTATACATTAGGAATTACGGTTATGATTTGGGAAAGTATCCCCCATAACAAATCCTGCAGGACCCTAAGGACTCTAAACTATGGGAACTATGGTATATTCCTTATAATGGGAAATGCAGGATTTTGTCCATCAGCAATAGGACCCTTTGGGTGTTAAGCCTTAGCCCCAAGCATTCAAGTAGTACGACTCCTCAACTTTGGAGCCTACGGTAAGGCCGGAAGCTGAAACTAAAATACCCCAGCCCCAAAAAGAAACCCTAGACCCTCAAGCCTTTAAGGGTTGAGGGTTTAGGGTTAAGGGTTTAGGGGTTAGGGGTTAGGCTTTGAACCCGAAGATGTCAAAAGAACCCGGGGCCCTAAACCCTAAAGCCTAACCCCCACCAGGGTTCGTGCAAGGCCGGCTGCCAGTGGCTGCCGGGTGAGTGGGGCCCTTGCAGCAGCACTTGCGAACCTGGCACCCGCTCAAGGCTCGGACGTTGTAATATAGGGGCCTAAATAACTACCATGCAATGCTATTTTGGGGATTATAGTATAATAGGCCCCAAAACCCTGTTCTAATTATCAAGGCCCCACATTAGTTACTTTTAGGAGTCTAGGGTGCAGGGTTGTTTAGAAAGGCTCCGTAAAGGGTTGCGATGAAGGTGGCTATGACAGTTGCCATCTCGTGCTAGGAGGGTTCTACTTGTGTGTCGGTTTGGCGGTTCGTCTTTTGGCTTCAGGGTTTAAGGCTTAGGGTTCGCGATGATCACGCCGCTTGCTTTGCATTTCTACTTCATCTGCTGGATCTTGAGGACAGCCGTTGCAGAGTCTTGGATTTAAAGCTACATGTAGGACGTAAGAACTGGTTCATACAGAGGGGATTATGAAAGGGCTTGGGGTTTCATGCAGTTAGCACTTCCTGCACGGACTTAGAAACAGGCCCCACAGTTGTCGATTTGGTGCCGTGACGTGTGACTGATGGTTTGGGGGTCTGGACGTCGAAGCTGCAAGGGCTAACCACTGAGCCCTGTAAACGCCTACATGTTAGTGTGTCTTATGCAGACTTCCGTGTGTAGGTATGCGCATGAATATGTATGGGACATATGTGTTCAGACATCTACACATCTTGGACAACTCCAAGGCTGGAAAGGATGCATTCAAGCATACCGAGGAGTCAACTTAAGCCCACGGACCCACAGTCCACATGCCCTTGCAGGACCCTGAGCCCTCGGGCCTTGGAAATATCTCAACCGGGACTTTCTGGTCTAGTAAGTAGAACTAAGGGCTCAAGGTTCGGCATCACCCCTTGAATTGACCCTTTCTGGTTTAAAGGGAACTCCAGAAAGTTGGAATATGGATTAATGGTAGGATCCCCTATAATTTACCTTAAAGGGGTTACGATAATAGTATTCCAACTTTCTGGCTTCTACTGTAATGGTTCAGGGTTCAAGGGGGTACGTAGGGTTCAGGGTGCACGGCTTAGCATCCTACAATCCTATAGACCACAGACCGGACCTTTCAGCCCAGCACTGAGGATTTAACCATAATTTCACAAGAATACAATATGGCATAGTTAGATATGTGGGTGGTTGTCAAAATTACGGTCCCTTGTTCGGTAGCCTAAATATTAGGTGCCGTATCATATTCAGGACCCAAAAAGGGGCCTTAATTTTGACAACCACCCATGTGTCTGGCCAAACTCAAAACACAGAAGCCCAAGCCCTGACACGGCGAGACAGACGAAACTTCCTGGCATACCCTAAGCCCTAAACCCTTAAACCCTAAACCCAGACAGACGGAACTTCCTGGCATCATCCCCAGGAACATCTCCTGCAGTGGCACCAGCGAAGCAGATTGCTCACAGGTCTGCGTTTAGACAGCCTTCACTGCCTTTTCAGAAAATATAGCTTTACCGAACCCTTACAGAAGGCTATAGGACCATGTTTGAAACGGGTAGGACACATAGCACCATGCTAAACCCAATGCCCTACCCAGTCAGCTTTTGGGGCCGCTGATGCTTCTGTACTAGGTTGAATGACTCTAACCCTCGTAGTAGAATACGGAACCTTTAACCTTTTTTCGGGTAGTATAGTCCCTATATAATCCCTATAAAGCCAAAAAGGTCAACCTTTAGCTCCCCATGATACCCGACAAGTAGGTAATTCAATCGGCTCCACGAGTGGGCTGAAATGGGGTGAAGGTAGGTGGAGTAATCACAACATAAGAGTCCTTATATAGGGGATCCTACCTGCCTTCATCCCACCTAGTGAGGCCTCCTACTACTTAGATCTTTGTCAGGGGGCCACAGTAGATCGAAGCAGAGCGGCCACCGCCCGTGACTGCTCCGAAACTGCCGAATGTGCACTGCATGGTTTAAGAAGGCCGAATATGTAGACTTCAGGGTTTAGGGTTTATGTCTCAACCATTGGCTAAGATTGCTACCAGTTCACCGACGCTTACAACCACAGCTAGCAACAGCAACAGCAGTAGTCTGCCAACATAAAATGTTTCTTAAAACAGTCATGAAACATGAACCCTGACACCCACACCCTGAGCTACAGCTGAGCCGAAGCTTGAAGCTATGGATACAATACTGATAATGTATGATAGCATGGCATCACGTGTTAAAGTATTTCTTCTAGTGTGTCATGTCACGTCAGAGTACGTCATGAATCCTAAACCCTAAGCCCTCAACCCTTAAACCATAGAAGGAACCCTCCAATCCTACTCTGACGGGAACCCCCTGAACCCGCACCAGGCGCCCAGGCCGCCAGACAGGGAACCGTGCAACGCCCAAGCTACCGGCCGCGATCCTGGCATATAAGCATCCGAATCCAAGGTCAGTGTCTGTAGTGGCTAGCAACGCCATGGTATCTAGGTGATTATAATGTCGAGGAATATGAGAGATTCCATGGTGCTGCCTTTGTGATTCCAGGTTGTGTTGAGGAGCTGAGCTCAGGCAGCAATGAGACCCTTCTTGCATTACATCTCACAATGATCTCAAGACGGGAGAACCTGCGTCTTCTTCCTTTGGGGTGGTTTTCAGTAAAGGCAGAGTCAAACTTGTGGGAGCCGACAGCTGCTAACTTTTTAGGCAGGATCAGCCTGGCCCGAGCAAGCGCCTCGCGAACGCGACGCAGTCAGGGCCTTTAGGCATTAAACTTCTACCGCCATGTTCATGGCCGTTAAAGTGCTGAACGACCTCGAGGCGCCTGTTGAGGTGAAGGACCCAGAGTCTGAAACTTGGAAAGTGGTGTATCCGAAGCAGTCACTGCTTCTGCCAGGTGACGAAGTGACACAGGTCCGGCTGCGCGAGGAGCCAGCAGTGCAGAGCACTTCTGAGCGTCAGGGGACGTTGCGCACCTCGGAAGATTTTGGCGAAGTCAGCACGCGTGGGAAAGACCTGGACTTCTCGCATCAAAGATCCGTGGCGAGAGAGAAAAACCGCCAAGAGATGGCCACAGAGCGAAAACAGCGACTGCGGCAAGCACGGAAGGAGTTCAATGTAGAACTCTTGTGCCTATGCTGCATGGTAGGATGCATACTGGGAGTGTTTCCGCCTTTACTTTTTGTAGTCGCCTCTGCTACGCCGGAGCACTATGGAGAAGCATTTGGATTGGCCGTTGCAGCGGCCCTCTTGTGCTGTTTCGTTTTTAGCATGGAGAAGGTTGAAGGCGGCGGCAGGGGCTCTTATTGCACCCCCTCCGTGGCCTGTGCCTCCTGCTCCCTTTGCGTTGGTGGACTGCTATGCTTTGCGGCATTGGTTTGGATGACGATCCGAGATGGCTTTGGGTGGACCTTTTTCATCGTCTGGCCGGTAGCCTGCTTGTGCGGCTGGCGGATCGAATGGGTATGCTGTGAGCGTGGGTGGGAAGATTCTGGGGCCGTGTCGCTCGGGGCCTTCAACGTAGAAGTCGTGGAGGCCGAGATCCAGAGGAGAAGCATCCGGTTTGAAGGATCGGTGATCCGTGAGGTTGGCAGGCCCTGCATCACTTCCTGGCCTGGTAAGTACGAAGGGGCCTGGGAGAGGCTGGTCGCTGAGAGTCGGCAGGGGCAGGTCAGCGCGGCCGTGGTGTTCCTGCCAGACGGTAGCTTTGTCATAGTTGGGTAGCATTTTACATTTTCATGAGTAGTTTTTGCAATGCATTGCATTGCAATGGATAGCAGAGTCGACAGACGCATCCCCAAAATCATGCAGTGAATTCAGAAGCGAACACGACGACCCGGCATTCCACATGTTTTGTGCGGCTAGCCAGTCGAGGGCCGCGCAGGCAAAAAGCCCATTAAACGTGGGGAGGTGGCGCAGAAATCTATGGACATAGTATGTGCTCACCAGACAAGGGTGGGATGTAACCGGCAGACGGGAAAAGCAGTCCCACCCCTACAACAAAATCAAACTGAGGCACGTGGCAACTATCAGAAAGTTGCCAAATCTGGTGGCCACTCAGGCTGTCATGAGAAGGATCATTTCAACTAGCAAGAGATTTTCCCTGTCACAAAGGATGTTTTGTATTCCGTTGTCGGCTATCAAAGCACCAGTCCAACTACAATCCGAATTAAGTTTGGAATCGGATTCGTACTGCAAGCGTGCAGGATCTTCCTCAGGGGTATCGGCTGAGGCCATCCCTACACAGTTAACATACCCAGGAGGTCAAAACACCTTGATCGAGGTGATATCGGGACATCAAACTCAACAACAGCATGAAGGCCGTAAGACCTCCACACTCAAATAGAAAGTGCATCACTCACGTACTCAGAAACTGCAGGAAAGCGGAGTCAGGGTCATCAGATCGAACACCTCGTCGTCTGTGCCTTGCCCCTCTCTGTAAGACTTGCAGTGGTTGCCAGGTTTCATTCGCCTGACGAGCCTCTGGTTTGCTTCAGGCCGCGCAGTTGGAAAGCCGACGTCTTCTCGAAGCCAGACGCAACTCCTTCGAGCCATACGCGTCATCACGTCGGCTGCCAGGTTGCCGTGTGGTGATCCAGGAATCCAGATACACTTGCATGACGAGTCTCCGTTCTGATTGATGCTGCGCAGCTGCAATGCCAGCCTCTTCAAAACAGCTCTACCATGTAGTACGCGAATGTGTCCTCTGTCCTCCTCAAACACATGCGCAAAATGGCCACCCCATCACGATGGATACGCGGCAATGGTTGCCAGCACTCGGTTCGATGATCCAGGTGGCCTCGCCTGACGAGCACCTGTTGTGCCTGATGACGCACGTCTGCAAAAAAAGTGACTGTCTCCCTCAGCAGTATCCTTTTGCCCTTGTTTGTTCGGGGTCTCCTTAACTTCTTGAAACTAAATGAACATATAAATGGCGACCCCTCATTCTTATCTATCACTATGGTATAATCATGCATGGTTTCTTCATGTTGGTCTTTATGACTTCTGGCGAGCCCAGGCTTCCTACAGAAGATGCGGAGTTCCTGGAAGCTGCCGAAGGCCTGGGGAACTCGCAAAAAGCCGAGGTGGCTTGGCTCGAACGGAAGGGCTACAGCTACCGCGGCGTCGACGTCACCACGTGGCTCGAAGAGGACGGCAGCGAAGGCTGTGGCCATGCTACGAGGCTTGATGTCGAGTCAAAGCCACAGGGCGCAAACCCAACACCTTGGGCGCTCCCGCACGAAATCCCAGCAGGTGCAGCATCAGATCTTAACCAAGCCGTTGGCGCTCCCGCGAACCCGGATCTGTTGGAGTAGTTGCTTTAGCTTCGTCAAGACGATGAGGCCACACTTCTGCAGCTTCAGCCTTTAGAAGGTTTAGGGTACAGGGTATACACTTGCGTGTGGCGATGTCCACGCATGCACCGTACTCTCGCTGCAGCTCCTTTAAGCATTTTAAGCAAAAACTGTGCTATTGCAGCTTCAAGTCAAAAGTCTCACAGCGTGGGGCAGTGGGGGCGCCAGGTAATTGCAGATTGCAGGTTTTGGGCTTTCCATGGAGGTTTTCAGGTTTATGCACAGCAACTTTACTCTACCGTCTAAGTTCCAGGGATTTCGCAGCTGTGCCCCTTCCCCAGTGCCCCAGAGTCATCGACATCCTTGTCGCTGGGCAGCTTCTGGAGCTCGGGGTTGGGTCCTGGCACCCGAAACCTGGGTTCTTGTTAAGGGGTTTAAGTTAAATTACAATAATAGCCATAATAGGGATCTATAGTAGTAAATAATGTGGTTTCCTTTATTATGGTGCCTTAATTCAAATCCTTCAACAAGTCCTGTACACTTTTGGCACCAGTCCATGGAGCTGAACACGGTGCCTGTACAGGACCCATCGGTTTGGCCCTGCCCCCACAAGCACATCACCTCGATAAGGTATGAAGCGTCAAAACTCTGATATGCTCGCATATGACCATGGGTTGATCTTCTCCAACCAACACTTCAGTTCTGACTATGCACCGTGACAACCACCATAAATACGATCTTGTCATCATCGCATTATGATATTGATAGACATAGAACAGGACAGTCAATAAATTGGCGTGTTTGAGTTTGAATCATTCGTGGAGGACATCATGAAAATCAAAACAACTCTCAGTGGCTGTTGTTCTTCAGGTTGCGACTGGAATGTGGGCGCCTGGTCCCCATGCTCCGCCACGGCCTGTCTGGCCCTGGGCAGCCGCGTGCGCGAGGTCAGGGGTGCCCTTTGCCAATCAAGAACCCTCATCCTACAACACTGTCAAGGGCCTCTTTGGGAAGGTGTGCATGGGTTTTGGGGTTGGGTCTTGCGTTGAGAGTTTCGGGGCGCTGCTTGTGATGTTGCTCTAGTCTCCAAAGGACTTGCTTTTCACTTTTGTTCATTTTAAACCCAAGAGAACAAACAGAATAGTGTTTTTAAATGGTTTTACTATGGTTCTAAGGGGGGTAGAGGGTGTAGGGTGGCGACATGGAGTAGCTTTGGGAGGTTTAAGATGCAATCCTTGGAGGTCGTCATGAAGATCGGGTTGCCAAATTTTAATTCCAAGTATTGTAGTACTCATAAACGAATAGCAGTAACATTAAGGGTAAGAAGAAGAAGAACAATAACAGCCATATAGTTTTTGCGGTTCTTCTTGGTCTTTGGAGGGTTTAATGAGGCCTTAGGGCTTAAGGGTGCCTTCGAAGCGTTAATGGGTCCCCAGCAAGTACGCGCCGACTTTGTGATTGAGCAGGCGCGACTAGTTCCTAAGGAAGCTGGACAAGACGGCGCGTACTTGTGCCGCATGTTGTTACTCGTGTGTAAGGTGCTTTCACTCTGAGTATGGGTGCTCAGCATCCGAGATCCCTGAAGGTTCAAACCTTTCTGGAAACTTTGTTTGTACCTTTGTTTCAAGTCGTTTAGAAGACAGATGTTTTGGGAAGGTCAGCTGCTGAAGGCACTGATAACTTGAAGCAAGGTTTCTTCGGCCGAATTGATACGTCGCCATGAACTGTAAAAACCTGCAAAGATCCGAACAACTACCCGTGAACTTCACTGTCTGGTGCTGATCTCTATGGTAGTCCCTATATAATCCCCAATACTGGATTCCCGACTAAGAACCAGACACTTCAAGTAGGAGTTTCCGAAAATAGGGGACCCTAATATAGGACCCTGAATAGTCGGATCCTTATTATAAGGACCCCAAAATTCAGGTACCCCCCCTAATTCTTCGGAAAATCTAAACCCTAAACCCTTTATAGAACCTTCATAGATCCCTTTAAGGAACCCTTATAGATCCCCTTAAAGGAGCCCAAATTTTCGGAAACTCCCAATGTAGATGCTCAACTCTGTCAGGTGTTTTGCCCATCGCAACATGGCGACGCAGGATGTCTTGAGCTCAGGGTCTTCGGGTTTCTGGTGCCTAGGCTGTAACCCTAGGGATCTAAGGACTCATATATTAAGGCTTTTGGGCCCAAAGGCCATACTATATAAGGCTTTTTGGGTTTTTTGATCCCTAGGGTAATATAGGTTTCTTAATAATTGCGTATACTAGTTTAGGGCTTCGGTGGTTTACGGCTTCGGCGATTCCAGGATGTGGGGTATAATTAGGGTCGATGGCTTCAGGCTTAACGTTTCAGGCATTCGTGTACAGTCAAGCCTAGCAGAGCACTGCCCCACAAACCGGAGCCTCTTCTGCGAATCAAGTATTCATACCATGCACTGACAGGACACCATCCTCAAGATTAACAACTTTCTTCTGCTCTTGCGGATCATGTGGAAGGGGACGGGGCCGAAGCAGCTTCGCAGGACGTGCAGACCAAGCTATGTGACTTCAAGGAAGTGGGCAAGACTGCTACAACTGTGACAGAAGTCTTCCTGCTGAAGGCCTTGCAGAACCAGGCGACTGGACGCGGCATTGGGGATAATGCACAGATTGAAAAGGCCGCCGGTTTCGCGGCAATGCAGCTGCCCTTCTCGCCAGGGAACGTCCTGGACATGACAGAGGACGACATCCAACCGGTTCTGCTGAAGCTCGCGTATAATGGGCCCCAAAACCTTGTTCTAATTATTACAGCCCCTTATATTCGGCAGTCGGTTTTCGGATTTGGGATATCAGGCTTCACAGTTAATTCATGGATCAGGGTCCAGTGTCTGGGAAGCACTTGGTGATTCGAAGGATCCAAGGATTACGGGCTGCCTTGGTTGTTCACGATTTGGGCTCAACATCCTGAGTCCCCTGAACCTCTAAGCTCTCAAAAACCCTAACCCCTAAACCCTAAGCCTTAAACCCTAAACTTTAAACCCTAAGCCGAAGCGCGAATGTTCGGGGCGCTGCCGCTCTGTGGTCAGCCCCGAACTGCGAAGCTGGATAGCACCAGCCGAGAGCATCTAAATTAGCAGGGTTTGGTTTATAGGCCTTATAGAGGTTATATAGATCAGTGCTTACAGGGTTTATAGGGTTTAGGGTTTATACTATAAGGTTTGTGGTTTATAGGGTTTGAGGTTTACGGTTACAGGGCTCATCATGGGCCGAAAAGCGTGGTCCCCGAGTAGTACCCTTTCGGCCTTTTTCTGTGGGGTTTCCTGAATATTAAAACCAAACACTACGAATATTGGTATCCTCGTTTCTAAACAAGGGGCTATTCAGGAACCTAGAGCTAGACAGCCATGTACATGGCAGGCAAATCTGTCTCGAACCTGAAAGGATCTTGACAGCCCAGACTTCAGATGCCTTAGTAATTACCTGTACCATTTTGGAGGTTCCTTATTATATCTGTAGTATGATAGCCCTCAAAGCCCTATTCTAACTATTACGGCCCCTACATTATTATGCAGATACCCAAACCCTTCACCGCACCCCAAACCCCAAACGTTGCACCTCGGCCCTCCTATGCCCTGAGATTCCTGCAGGTCGCATTTCCCGCAAGCATAGTTTCAAAGACTAAAGAGAAATAGCTACCCTGTGCATCATCCCTCAACACTGGTCAGTAGACCTCGCACGAGACCCTTGTAACACTCCAGAAGAACCATGCAACCCTGAATGCACTTGTAAGTCCTCGTAACTGTACTCCTTATTGACCGTAGTAGGCGAGTAGATCATTTTTGGAGTTTTTGGTGGTTACAAAACTGCCATGTTGAAACAGATGAACCTTTCCTTGGGCCGGGGAATCCCGCCATGTGCTCGAGGTCCCTGGCCCAAGCCGAAGGCCTTTGCACCTTCCAAGTCGTTCAGGGTTTAGGGTTTATAGGGTTTAGGGGTTTAGGGTTTAGGGGTTTAGGGCTTGGGGTTTAGGGTTTAGGGATTATATAGGGGTTTGGGGTTTAGGGGTTTAGGGTTTAGGGTAACTTTGACGTAGGTGCCAGCACCTCAATGAGTTAAACAGGCTTTAGGGTTTAGGGCAGGGCTGCGGAATCTACAGTGGCATATCTGATTGCAGAGGAGCTGTAAGGGGATACCACGACCAATTATTCATCTGCCGGCGCTTTCCTGTCCGTTGCCTGACAGTGCCGGGGGCGGCTCAATTCGCCACACCGTGTGCAAGGATTCATCTGGGCCAACAGGGAGTCCAAAATACGTAGAAAGGGCCCCGAAACCCTCATCTATTTATTTAGGCCTCCATGTCATAGACACTTTTGATAGACCCCTTATAAGACCCTTTAAGCGAACCCTTTAAAGGAACCTATAATCTACTTATTGAGGCACCTACATCAACCAAAACACCTCTACTGGTTTAGGGTTTCGGCGTCCTGACTCAACACGAGTCCCAAATCTGCATGAGCATGCGTTTACGAATCATAGAGTGCACCACAATATGTTTTTGGAAAGATGAGGGTTCAGAATTAGGGTTCAGGGTTTATAGGGTGTAAGAGATGCAGCGTTTCGGGGTTTAAGCGCTCGGTCTTTGAAAAACGGTAGTTGTTTCGAATCATCGCTGTCATCCTTCGAAGAAGCTCTTATCTTAGATCGAAACCCTCGAAACGGCGACAATTGAGAACACGTATTTTAGCAGTGACGAGATTCATATCCATAGTAGTTCCTTAAATGGAGTCATGACCATGATACTAGTGACTAGTGGTGATAAGACAAAGCTGCTCTATGGGGGTCTACAAAATACCAATACTATTTTGGGGGGTTCCTCTTTGCAAGTGTAGTATAATGGGCCCCAAAACCCTATTCTAATTATTACGGCCCCCAGATCATAGACCCCTCTGATAGGCCCCTTTGGAGGAACCCTTTAAGGAACCCTCTTTAAGTCTTTGTTCAAGCGATGTGAAGCAGGCTTTGGAGACGTGTCAATCCTCGCGC